GCTGTCTAGGTCCACCTCCATAAAAGCCATACTTCTAATTTTATACAGTCAGAACCTGGACTACTACCAGAGGCTAAAATGAAGGGGAAATAATAACAAACTTTTTAGAACCAAATGTTTACCTAAGTGTGAAGTTTTTGATTACTTCCTCCATCTCTGGAAACAGAGGACCTTATTTCCAGAGCTTGCTATCAACTCAAGTGTACATGTCCCCCATCCTAAAAGGTCAGATTTCTTAAACTCCCAAAACAAAGAGTCACTTTAAGCAATATCTTGTGCATCCAGATTCAAGATACAAGAACTCATGTTGTTTCACATTTTCTTGAGCTCTCCCCCCAAGTTTATTAAGGAATTCTGAATCCTTAGAGACAAGAGTAGTTCAAAGTTTTATGTGAAAGGTGAAATTTACTGCTTGGTGCTGGCTCTTGACATCTTGGGATAAACTGAAAAGAATTCAAAGCACAACAATAAACTGAGAGGGAACGATTACATACAAGGAGATGAGGAGAGCTAGCTACAGTATGTGGTATGATGCAGAGTCACCGGTGATGGCATGAATGCAAGCGTATCGTGCCTTGAGGAAGACAAATTAGTTAGGGTTAGAGTTACTCAGCACAAACAAGGAAGTGAGTATTTAAATATCGGGAAAAGCTTAGCTTTGTAAGGAAAAGCAATCACAGCCATTTCATGGAGCATGTAACAAATACCAGGAAAGCCAATGGAAGCAGTCATCATTTTTCTTTCTAATGAGGAAGCTGCCTTTGATACCCAAGCCAAGAGCTGATACATATCACCTCCTCCAGAGTTAGTAGCAATCCTACCTGTGGTCAGCAATCCCAGTTAAGGTGTGTGCCTACACTGAATATGCAAACTAAACTGAATTTCAGCAGAAAGAAAAAAAATCAACTTGAAAGTGCCAAGCTCTTAAATAGCACTGAAGGGACATATTCCCCAACTCCACACTCTGCTTCCCAGCAATAGCTTACTCATTCTATAAACTTGTTGAGAAATCAAAATCATAGATGACTTTTACAAGGCAATCTCCAAAGACTAAATCAATTTATTTCATCAATCAGAAGGTATGCCTAATAAAGAGCATGAATTGCAGATTGAGTTCAGCTTTCTCATGCAGTTCAGCTCCACTCTCTCCTTTCTCTATCCTGCAAGCAGCATTCCCCAGTTTGAGATCAGTCACACTACAACACTGCAGCCAGGATCTGGCTTTGATGCTGTCCACACCAGAATGCTTTCTGCACAGCCAGGACTACAGGCAGCAGCAGCACAACAGACTGAGGAGCAACAGAGAAGGCAGAGGGTGATGCCTTTATCACTCCAACTGCTCACTGCAATGACCAGTACTGAAACAACAGTTATACATCCAAGAGATCAGCCCATCCCCAGCCTCCACAAACTTCACTGAACAATGCTAACGTTAGATAGAGACAACAGGCAAAGGATGAAATCTCGGAATTTTTAAAAATCATGTTACACGCTTTGACTGTAGGCTCAGCTGAGGTCAAATTAGACACCTGCATGATTTAAGTCACCCAGCTCTGGATTTTAAGGATTAATAATCTGAAGTTCGCAGATGCATTATATATTTGCCCAAGAGAAAAAGCACTGTCACACTTTGTATGAAAACTATGCTTGCAAAGTTCTCTGCTCCCTTAAGGTTTTAAACCAATTTAGTGGGTGAAGCATAGACAAGAGCAATCACAGGACACAGTTATTACAAACACAATCTCCCAATGCATTTTCATACGTTAGACCTGTGTGCATGTATATCTGATACAAAGCTGGCACGCTTCACTTGAACTTAAACAAAAGTAACACACTGAGAAAACCCTGTCTCGTGGGCATTGCATTAGGGCAGAGAAAAACTCTAATCTCAGTTCTCTAAACTCAGAGATTTCAGAGGCAGCACTGGAAACCCTGCATAAAGAAAGTACAATGTGAGTGCAGAACCAACACTGGAGGAAAAACCTTATCTCCAAATGGCAACCAGGTAATACTGATTTAATTTGTTCTAATCTACATAAAGCAAACAAGTGCATGTATTACAAACAAGATAACTTGTTTAAGCAGTAAGGCAAACTAATCTGTCTTTCAGTTGCTGGCAATCATTCGCCCTTTGCCCACAGAAAGCCAAACTTGTTTCCTACTTCTGAATGTTCTGGCTGTCAATAACCATGTAATTTGCAACACAGATCTAGCTCCCAGCCCAAGAGCTGGGGGAAAATAGGTTGATGTGGACTTGACCTCTCATGATAGCGATGACATAAGACGTTACAAAACCAAAATTCCCAGAAAAGACTCAATTACCAACAGACTATCATCAGCTCCTCTCTTACAGCAAGAAGGAAAAGCAGTTCTCCTTTTCTACAGTTTTAAGCTTGTTCTTTGGTGAATGTCCTACTCATCTCTGACTCTGAGGTGTGTTCCTCATTCCGAGGAGGAAAGGGCACAAGTACCTGCTGTGCATGTTTACATCAGCACTGTGTTAGTAGTACAGGCACACAGTGATATACAGAGATGGCACACACTTTCCTTGCTTTTTGTGTGCATCATTCACACTATGCAGCACCAGATTAGTCAACCTTGAGCAGCAGGAAAAGCATACTGGGGGCAGAATACTGGCAGAAATACTGTTCTGGATGATCTGTTGAACCTTCTTACTTCCCTTAATCTCTGAAAGGAGGCTTTCCTGTCTCTCACTCTCCAGCTCTTTGCTACTGCTACAATAAACACATTCCAGAATGAGATTTTGCGCTTTTTTTATCTCTGCATAAATTTATAACATAATGGCTACAGGGCAGGAAGTCTCCACTTTATGCCAAAAGAAAGCATATGTAGGCACAGTTCACTTGCAGACCAGCAAATTTATTATTCTCAAACGTACCATATGCCTTCTACAATCTAAGAAAAGGCATAGAGAGACCTTGACCACCACACTTGCTAGCAGAGTTAAGTTTCAACCAGAAGTCAGAATTCTCCACCACAGATTTTTCTCTCTGTTGAGAACGAAACCTCTTCTAGCCTTAAGACAGTGCAAATCTCACATAGCCAAGGAAAAGAGCTTCCCTCTGTCTGCATTCACTTGAGACTGAGGTTTGCAAAGCGATATTCTCCTTCATGAAGGATCATTTGGTTGGAAGCGCTTAGCATTGTGGTTAGCAAAAAAGAAATTTATTTTGATGGAAACTTTGTATTTCTTAATCTTTACCTTACCATCAAAACAGAAAACAAATCCAGCTGATCCAGCACACCAATAAATCCAGGCTCTCACACTACTCCTTCCCATCCCCCTGTGACATTAATTCAACACTTGCCTGTGTTTCAGCTCTTTCTTTGTTTAATTTTGATTTCCTACACTTTCCCAGCAAACCAGAGAGGTGCAGCTGTTCCAGCCTCTCTGGAAAAAAACCGAAGCAAGGCGGAAACCCGTGTACACACACTACGGAGCAACACTCGCAGCTGGCAGTGCAGGGTGGTCGTGGTTACTTCTCTCTGACCCTCAAGTTTCCAAACTGTTCCGACAGAGGTCTGCACCTGGCAAGACCCCCATCGACGACTCCAAGTCGCACGACTCTGCCTCTCCCGATTCTATATGAACATCCTGGCGGTGGACATCCACGGGAACACCGGACCCTCCCCGCCTCTGCGGTGCTCCTGACCCCGCCGCCACCTTTCACCGCCGCCGAGCACAGCCTGCCCACACACGGCTCCTGCCGCTCTGCCATGGAAGTCAAGCCTTCCTTGGCACGGGAACACCCAAAAAATTAAAATCTGGGCCTAGAGCTAGCAGGACAGCCCCCCTATTTTCTTTCTTTCTTTCTTTTTTTTTTTTTTTTTTCTTCCCCAAGCATTTCCATCTGAATCCCAGCTCCAGGATTCCCCCGAATCCCCGGCTCGCCTCAACAGAAGTTCCACGGGCGTGTGTGTAGGACGGGGAAGTTCGATGCTCGAGCGTGAACCGGCGCACCCACAACAATCCCAAGCCCCAACCCACGGCCCGGGGAGGGCGCCGGGCGCCCCGGGCGGGCAATGGCAATGGCACCGGCACAAGCGCCGGGCGGGGACCATAAGGCGGCGAGCCTGGAACACCGGGGTGCGCCGGTGCTGCTCCCCTGCACGGGGCAGCGCTGACCCACACCCAGCCAACACAGACGAATAGAGATACGTGTAGTTGTATAAATATATATACAGGAGAATATGGCCCCCCTCGTCCCGCCGTGGCTGAGCACGGGCAGCAACTCACCGCTCAGGTAGTTGGTCCACTTGTACAGCACCCCCTCCATGCCGGCCGGCCCCCGGCCCCATGCAGCGCGGCCGCCCCCCGAGGGGCTCACACCGCCCGCCGCCGCCCGTGCCCCGCCGCGCCCTGCCCGCCGCGCGGCGCCATCGCGGGGGGGCGCCCGCCCCGGCCCCGCCCCCGCCCGGCCCGCCGCGCGCCCGCCCCCCCCCGCCGCCGCCACGCTCCCGGCCGCGCGGCGCTGCGGCTGCGCAGAGCACTCTGTGAATCGCGGCCCGCGTGACCGCCGGGCGTGGGGAGCGCGAGGGGGGAAGGAACACGCGCGGAACGCCCGGAGCGGGTGGCCGCCCGCAGCCAATCGCAGCGCGCCCTCCGCGCGGGCGCCGCCCAATCAGCGGCCGGCAGCAGCCGGCTCCGTTGTGCGCGCGCTCCGCGGGGCTGCCCTGCTCGCCGGCGCCGAGACTGCCCGGAGCGCGCGGGCCCGCCCGCCCCTGCCCTCGGCCGAGCCCGCCGATTGGGCGAGCTGGGGACGGACAGGGGCGAGCCCCAATGGGCGGTGGGTCCTCCTGGGCTCGCCCGGATGCGAGCCAATCAGAGGGCGCGTCGGGGGAGCCGAGCCACCGGGACCTGGGGAGTGCTGAGTGCCGCTGCCACGTCGGACCGACCGACCGACAGACGGACAGACCGAGCGATCGAGCGGGGCTGTGCTGCGGGATGGCGGCCCGGTGAGCCGAGGGGAGGCGGCGGCGATGGCGGCGGCGCTGCTGCGGTGTGCCCTGCTGTGCGCGGCACTGGGCTGCGCGGGCGCGGCGATGATCCCGCCTGCCGACGTGAAGGTGGAGGTGCTGCACAAGCCCTTCATCTGCCACAGGAAGACAAAGTGGGGGGACATGATGCTGGTTCATTACGAGGGCTACCTGGAGAGGGACGGCTCCATGTTTCACTCCACGTAAGTAAGCGGCGCGTCTCCGGGAGAGACCTGGTGGGTGAGCTTGCGCGGGGAATTATTTATATAAATATATATACATATATGTGTGTGCAAAATGGAATCATAAA